GAGCTTTAAGAATACAACAAAACAAAAATACATCAACAGAAAAGAAAAAGTAGCTCAAAAAAGCTTTATTTATTTATTTTCCACGTACTCATTCTCCACAGCAGCGCGGCTCGCCATTCGGAATAAATTAAGATATTTGCCCCAATCGCGCTAGTGGTCGGACGTAACTTGTGACAGGTACTTCCCCATTATTCATACGTTCTACCGAAGCCGATGGCGCAGTGGTTGCGTTGCCGACTGCTGTTCGGGAGGTTGTGGGTTCGAATCCCGCTGCCGACTGCCCTGTCTGGGGTTTTGTCAGATTGTTTTCCTCAGACGTACGTAGCTTCGCAATTCGTATAATGCTAGAATTATGTTGAAATCTATGAGGCGAATGTAGGAGCAGTAGTGGAATAGCCTTTGGCTACCTGCGATATGAATATCTATTCTTTCAAATAGACTACCTACCAAAGTTATATTGCCTATGGCAGTTGAGTGAGAAATAGCTATAAAGAGGCGAAACTTGCATTAATTTAGATGAGGTTTATTCCAGGTAACGAAATATGGATATGCCACTTTGGCACCGAGATGTGTCAGTACCTCAGCAACTTCGTAAAAAGTAGTCGATTTCTACAGAGTGTATTATCGTTCGTGTTGTTTGAGCGACGTTTAAGCATCAGATTCGCACGTCTGCCACCCTCACACCCGTCCCACTGTGGACGTGCAGGAATAAGCTCCGGCGAATGAGATGGGGAATATGTATCGCAATTTTACATTATAGTTGGGCCTCTTTACTATTTCTCACTCAACGCTTTAGCTCATTGGCAACTTTTTCTTTCCTACTAATCCGTTGCTTGTGGCACAAGCTGTACATTTTCTGCTCCACTTACTCCTTCACATCTTGTTTGCAATTTACCCAGTTGAATGGTTTCCGCCCCTTAATCAGGGTTTTTTGTCACTCCTAGATGTCTACCCGAATCCGGAGTAGAGTACCTACTCTTTTCTAATATCGGGTGTTTTTAAGCAAGATAGAACTTTCCATCGCGATGGCTGTGAAAGCCTGCGTGAATTTCACGGCATACATAATCATCCATCTGAACTAGCAGGTTGAGGTAGGGCTTTGTCCGTCCACTACATGGAAAATTTTGCACACAGATCTTGGGCTAAATCCATATACTTAAGATACAGATATACAGACAAGTTGGTGCAGGAATTAAAGCTATAACACCATCGATTGCGGCGTTCTTTCGAGGATTGGGCTATAGAGCAGTTGCAAGTTGACCCGTTGTTTTATCGCAAAATTGTTTATCTATGAGGCTCATTTTTGGCTTAACGGGTTTGTTAATAAACAGAATTGCCGAATGTGGAGTGAGACCAATCTAGAAGAGGTTTTACAATGCCCCATTACATTCGGAAAAATCCACCGTTTGGTGTAGTTTACACGCTGCAGGTGTCATCATCGGACCGTATTTCTTTATAAATGAGGCTACGGCTAACGTTACGATTAACGAGGAACGTTATCGGACCATGATCAGTGAATATTTGTTTCACAATATTAATGACATTAATCTGGAGGAGATGTGGATGCAACAGAATGGCGCTACGTGCCATACAGCGAACGAACTATCGACTTATTAAGAACAAGATTTGGTGATAAGTTGATTTCAAGAAATGAACCTGTCAAGTGGCCACCTAGGTCCTGCGATTTGACGCCTCTTGATTATTTCCTATGGGGCTACGTAAAGTCATTGGTGTTCTAAAAAACCGCTCGAGCGACGAGCGCTCTAATTTTCTCAAAAGTGTTCGCTCCTAAAAGTGCTCGGGAGCGAAAAAAACGCTCAGGGCTCGGGAGCGTAAAAACCGGTCGCGAGGGAAAAAAGAGCTTGCGGGGAGAAAAAACGCTCATGAGCGGAAAAACCGCTCGTGGGCAGAAAAAAGCGCTCGAGCGCCGAGCACTTTTAGTAAACGCTCGAGTATCGAGCACCATGCGGCCGCTCCGAAAAGTGCTCGCGAGCGGATCGCTCACAAGCGCTTTTCCTCTTGGAGCGCTTTATCGAGCGGAACGCTCGCGAGCAGTACCCAGCTCTGGGTGTATGCTAATAAACCAGCAACTCTGCACGCCTTGGAAGCAAACATTGTTTGTGTGATTAATAACATAACACCACCAATGCTCGAAAAAGTGACCCGAAATTGGACTGGCAGAATGCGTTTCGTCAGGGACAGCCGCGGTGGCCATATGCCTCAAATAATTTTTAAACATTTAATGTCATATATTGTTCTTTCCAATAAAAACAGATTTTTCAACAAAAGCTATTTTTGTATTATTTATTAAAGTTTAAAATTCTATCGGGCTTAAAAAAACACCCTTTACCGTCGGCAATCTGCAGTATGTACTCGTAGTACCTACTACCTATGCTCTCCGGTATAGTATAATAATGCGCTGGACACACATTTTCTAACGCTCGCTTGAGAAGAACATCTAACTGTAAACTGAGCCCAATAAGTCTTTAAAACTGTATACGTATATCGGAAATACGTACCTCTTCCCAGATTGCCCTTCTTCCATTTTCCAGTTTATCATTAGACGTAAATCACGGACACCTAAAGCTGTCCGGGGTTCTTGGGCGACATGCGTTTTGTTTTTCATATTTATGCGTGAACAGTGTGGACCATCTTCACGACATGGTATAATAAAATGGCAATATGGGCCAATCGATAGGACATCGGCATTACCGGATGCTTTGTATTTGTTGCATAGAATGAGTTCGCATTCCGAAATAGTTGTGGAAAAGGATTTTCGCATGCATGTGGACGCGTTCTGCCATTTACAAATGTGCGCCCCGTTTCCGGATTTTTGAATTGATCAAAACGATTTTCTATCGTGGTTGTGTCTACCATATGAAAAATATTGCTTTTGTAAATTTCTTCGGGATCAGTAGATGCGAAGATGGGTGGTGCAAAGATTCTCATCATTTAAAAAGTAATACGAAAATATCATTCCCCTGAGTGACTTTACTTAAAAAATCTTATTCTGTAACTGCAACAAAAATCATTATACTGTACAGTTGAGTTTTTTAGGTCAACCAAATTGCGTTTAGCGTATGTTAGAGGCCATTACAGAATTTGGCTCCAATCATTGTTTAGTGTTATGCTTATGGGTTTATCATAAGTACAGTGTAGGAATTTAATTCATCTTCCCATTTTATGGACAAGCGTAATGGAAGATCTTTCTTGAAATTGTTCCAGCGGACTCGAGATATGAAATACAGGGATTTCCAACAAATCTAGATTATATTAGAATTTTATAATTTCATGATCAGTTACCGATTGAAAAAAAAAACAAGCCAAGAAAAATATCGATATATCAAGTCCACTTTTTAAATGAATTATATGTGGATTTTATGTACTTAATGTATATTTCTGAACGTTTTATTGCGATTTTTGCTTTATCTAGTAGGGGAGCTAGCACGAAATCCACTGAACGAGAATGATCAAAATTTTAACCGATGGAGTTCCATTTTGCCCTATCAGAGTATGCTAAAATCGATCGTCTGCAGCCTCAGGTCATACGATTTAAGGCGCTGCGGGTACTTCTTGTGGTACCAATTCTGAAAGGTTGTTTTTCGAGAAAATAAGTTATACACCAAATGAAAACGTTGATAATAGCTCTTAAAAAAATATTTAAAAAAATCGCGCACATTTGATAACTCCGTAAAAAAACAATTCTTAGTCGGTTTTTCACGAACTTTCTACGGATATAACTAGGTTACCGTTGGAAGAATGAAGCTGATTTTTTTTACAGACTAATGATAGGTAGGTACAGCCAATGACTATGAGAGTGTTTCTTTTTTAAATTTAAGATAATAAGATAATCTTGTAATTAGAGAAAAAATTTAAAAACGAAACACCTTTAAGTCATTAGTAGTACCTATCATCAGTCTGTAAAAAAAATCAGCTTCATTCGTCCAACCGTAACCTACTTAGTTATATCCGCAGAAAGTTTGTGGAAAACCGACTAAGAATTGTTTTTTTATGTAGTTATCAAATGCGCGCGATTTTTTAAAATATTTTTTTAAGAGCTATTATCAACGTTTTCATTTGGTGTATAACTTATTTTCTCGAAAAACAACCTTTCAGAATTGGTATCACAAGAAGTACCCGCAGCGCCTTAAGTCGTATGACCTGAGGCGGCAGACATCGATTTTAGCATACTCTGATAGGGCAAAATGGAACTCCATCGGTTAAAATTTTGATCATTCTCGTTCAGTGGTTCAGTGGATTTCGTGCTAGCTCCCCTACTATTAGTTTTGCTACTAGGATTCCATTATAAGTTTTAGAAAAATTTACTTACCTTAACCATTTCATCATTGTGAACCGTAGAAAAAGGGTGTGTGGTAGTGGTATACGATACCATTTTTATTTCAATTCATAATTACACTTTTTTCTTTGTGCGTTTTCCCTGTAATCATGTTTTTTAAATACTTACCATTACGGTGAGGTTTTAAAAACGTACATTCTATACACATAACATGCAAAATAAAGTTACATGCAAAAGAAATTAAAAAGAAAAAAAAACGAAAATATAAATATTAAAACTATCAGTCTACATTTTTATTTCATTGCACAGACACTGATAATAAAATATGATAACATAAAATCGATAGAATTTAAAATATACATAGGATTAATTATAATTTAGATAATACCGAAACTATCCTTTAATTTGTACTAACACAACAGTAAATTAACACAAAAAGTGAAAATTAAAAAACCTCATAATACTAGGATGACAAAAAAGTGAAACGACATATTTGCTTAATTGAATGTACAGTATATTTACATTATTTAGCAAAAGTCATGTAATACACGTTTTACTACATAAGTATTAATTTAGATCTATACCACTTTTTACACAAATATAAAATTGCCAATAATTAAAATTTATTATTTTTGTTCATATTATTTATTAAATATTTTAAGAAGTATAGCAATTGACAATATTTTCTATGATTTTCTTCTACATGGAATCAACGAACGCAAAATCATTGTGAAAAGGGACATTTTATGTTACTTGGTCCAAACAATATTATGTGGTGCCATAAATGTGACGATTGCCAATGAATTGTAAAATTTCTCTTTAAAATGATATGTTACCAATTGGTCTAAGGTAAAATTGAATCCCACTTAAATTGCGAATGCTAATTGTACCCATAATAAAAATAGTAAATTAAAAAAAAATTATTGGCAAAATTTTATACCGAGGTTTGAATGATCGAAAATTTTATACATTTGGAACATTTTTCTTTTATATACTTCTAACTGGAAACTTTAAATAAATGATTTTTCGACTGAAAAAAATTCGCTACATATGGCTACTAACATACATGTCATACATACATGTTTGTCTAAGTTTAAATTTAGAATGAGATTTACTTTTGGCAATAGAAATGTTCAATTCCGATGAACCTTCATCATTCTTACTTTAACAATAATAAAAAAGAATACTTTTTAGGAACTTGGACCCTACATTACAAATTAACACACCACAGACTGTTTTGTCATTATAAATCGTATGCAAGTGAAATTCTACACGTGTAAAGGTTTATAAAAAAAGACAACTTTTAATTCAACTTAAACTGTATTTTAATATCACATGATGTTTAAGGATTACAGTTAAAAAGATCCAACGATACTTTTCGTACATGTATCTAAACCAAATGCAATGTCTGAAAAAATTACACTAGCTCTAAAGAAACATTTTCAGAATTTGAACACAATTAAACCCACACGATACAAACTTGTACACAAAAACATTTAAATAAAAAATTTACCCAATAACAAACTTAACAACATTCAGTTTCGTTTATGTAAACTTTTATAATCAACGTCGACATCATGCACAAAACACTCAAAAACTTTGATTCCATATAAACAAACTAAAACATCATATGTACGATAAATGATAAATTTTAGGAGTTACAAAAATTGGAGAAATAATGAACTAAGTATATATTTTTTATCACAGTCAGGAGAGTTCACATTTGCAAATATTCGTATTTCTTGAAGTGAATTGATGCATGAGAATGTGATTTAAAAGGTTCCATAACAATGTGAAAATCTTACGAAATTTTTACAATGTCAAAACCTATACACGTGCTGTACTTGCAAGGTTCACGGAATTGAATTATGCACTAATACTTGAAGCCAATACACATCAAGATGCAAAAGGCCAGCTAATCGGCCAACTAGGATTATGTCACTAGATCGTTTGGTTCCAACAGCTAGCCTACTTATTATTATTTAAGTAGTAATACTATACTAAACTGGCCGTTATGTGTGCATTCATTTCATTCGTTATTTAACTACGATTACAACATATATACATTGCATAATACTCCCTCCTTCCAATTTTGTATTGTACTAAGTATTTTACTACCTTTTCTATTTATATTGGAAGAAAAAGACAAATTAAAAAATAAAAAACTAAGAATGCTTTTAAAGTTCTCTGTTTAAATAACCAATGAAAGGAATATTTTATGCCATAGTTTTTTTTAAGTATTTACAAATAATACAGTAAAAATAATTTGATTTAGACCTTTACTCCAATAATTAACACATTTCATAGTTCTATCACACTTGTTCACTCACTTTATTACACACATATTTAGGTATGTGTGAGGGTTAAGCACAGGAACTTATCTTACTCAAACAGTGCTAAAATGTCATCATTTGTGGTCGTATTCGCGTGGCCTGTACTGCTCCCACTCGATGGCGGTGTGTTTAAATCGGGTGGATCCAAATACGATAAGAGCTCCATTGGATCCACACTGTCGGGGAGTAACTAAAATTGACAAGAAAAATAAATAGTACCGCAATTCATAATTGTTGCTTTAATTATCTACTACCTATATACTACACATAAATTGCAAGATGCACCAATACTTGGTTTTGTATTTCTCCATACTTTTCATCTGGTAAGTATGAATCAATTTCAGTGATTTTAGTGCTTTTCCATAGGCGGTTTGTAACAAGAGTATTATAGTAATAGCTATTCTATAAAAATACCTAATCTTGTTTGCAGTCCTATTTGATAAACTCCTCTTGTGTAAGAAAAAATCAAAAAAGTAATGTATAGAGTTCTGTACACTCTTTTGGGGTCCCTACAACCACCTACTTTTTTAGACATTTCAATATAAATTTTGGTTGGAACACGCGCGCCCGTTAGCTCTGTTTGCTTATGATTGGTTAAGGTTGAGTTGAGGGTATACGTATATGATGAAACTGATGAAACTTGGGATAGGTAGTAGCATAGTGTAAAGTTCTATTCTTATAGGTACTATGGTCGCAGTTATTCACTACAGAAAAGGTGATAGAGAAATAAACCCGTTTAAAGTATGCACTTTGATGCTTTTAGTTGCCTTGGTGAGCTATAACAATGTTCCAAGAAGAATTCAAGTTGAGACACGTTATTGACACTACTGAAAACAAAGAAGTTGACTTCAAATGGCGCAAAAAAATAGCAAAAATTCAATTAATGTAATGAACATCCAATTCCAAGATGTAGCAAACGTAAACGCGGTTACTGATCTGTCTGCTGTAAATGTATAGTGAGTTAGGTTGGTACGCTGAAACCACGCCCACTTAAACGTTTGGGAAATTTTGCTTCCAGTGACCTTATTACTGCTATCATTGAGTGTTTACACTGGAGAAATGGAGATAATGATAAACAGCAAGTAGCTTATCAATTAAATTGTACTGCAAAGTACACCTTTTGGAACAAAATTGTATTCATTTTTGATGGTGCCAATTTCGAAAAACCAGTAGAAATGTCTAAACAGTTTCATTTTAACTGCCTGCTCTAGTTTTTAATTACTAATCTGTAAGTCATATTGCTATCCTTATTGTGCACATACTGTATATCATATTTCGAACACTAGAAGTTTACACAGGAATTATATAAATGCTACTTTACTAAAGACACAGCAAATAAGTTGTTTATAGAAACTTTAAAATGTTTACTCAACAATATTTCAACTACACTAGTCAGCAAGAGAAAAAGATCTATTACTTACATTTAATGCTTCTTGGCCTGTACCCTCACCATCAATAACAGCGGCCGGATCAAAGTTAAGATCGGATGGTATTTCAGGAACAGAATTGTCGCACTTGTCATTGCTTCCACTCGAATTTAAATGACTACTATCGGAGGGAGGAGGTACGCTGGGCGGGCCCGTTCCACCACCAGGAGTGTGCGCGGAGCCCGGAGTTCCTCCTGGTGTATGTGGGGTGTGTGGAGTATGAGGTGTGTGAGGTGTATGAGGCATCTGTAAGTAACACCAATATAATACAATGACATCACAGATCGATCTCTCACATTGTATACCTGTTCATTTAAACTTTTCTCCATTGCATTCAGTGGATCAAGCGAATTTACAGAGTCGCTCAGGTGTGAGAGTGGACCGGTGCCTGCCGTGTACTCGTTACTGGAAGGATTTGTCGATGAACCATATTCATACTGGTTCGTTCGCGAGTTGTTATACGACGGTCCATTCATCATTGACCCACTCGCAATACTGTTCATATCTGGAGGTATATAGGGAGACATGGCCTGAGGAATATCCCAATTATTCATCGTGGGCATCGTCATACTTTCTGGCGACATTGCTTTGTTTAGTTTTCGAGAGCTGCACGACTCGTTCTCTTCCTCCATCTAAAAAAATCAACCTTTACCTAACCATTTGCTCATCAAAATAATGAATATATAAAAATATTAATATAGGGAATAAACAAGCTACCGCAACAAAAATTTGCAACGCCCATAGTTTTTGGGAAACTTTCAAAAGAATGTTGTATTAAAAAGCGGTCTCAGTCAAAAATTTCAAGGGAAAAAGCAAGGGTATCATTTGAAAGTACATTTCATTCTCTAATGAGAGCTATTGATCATTTTAATTTCTATCACTATTAGCAAATGCTTCAAAAAGTACAAATACTACTGGTTTAAGATGGATGTGGATCGACTGCTGAAAAGCGTATATGATTCTTCATATACTTATCTTAATTAACTTAAGTATGCATTATTTCAATTAAAACCCTATGAATGAAATTTGAGATGTTTGAGCACTTTCCTCATTTTATTAAGGGGTGCAAGTTTTAGTTGAGACACTTTATAAATACGTGACACATTGCTTTATATCGTGATAATTTAAATCGTACCTTAATGCCCGATGTTATACTCTTAGCAGCTTTCCAATTAGCTGAACTATCAATAGTAACTTCATCGACCTCCGAATTGCTTAACGTATTAAGAATTCCCCACATATACTGATCCACTTCCAATCCTTCTAATTGTGCCGGTTTACTGAAAGACAAATAATGTAAAAATGTATACAGACACTTTACTTTGGCGAATTACTTGCACACAGGACATCGCCAGGAGCCTCTTTCACAGTTCAATTGTAAATAGGATTCTAAGTCGAAGCACTGTATGTGTTTGCACTCGTGACCTCTCGCAGGTAACGTTATTCGTTTAAAAGTAATAGGACATTTGAGACAAACTTTTAAAGCAGTTTGTTCGACTACATCTCTGTCTCGTTCTGTTAAGTTTGATCCGGAACCCGACGTATTACTAAAGTTTCGTTTAATTTTCGCTATACAATGATCCGCTGTTAGTAATCGTTTCCTAAGTAGGCCTTGAAGAACCGATCGTACGCTCGGCCTGTGCACTAATTGTAGCACGAAGAGGTGCGACTAAAAACAAATTCAATATAGTAACACATATCACAAAAGAACTAAGAAACTTACGCAACAACATGCAGATACTGTAATTTGTATTGTATTGCGACCAGGTTGACAAACTTCCTTAAGATAGAGAGGTTTGTGGGAAGTTTTGTTTTCTCCTCTATCAATTATAAGAGGAGTGGCGTTAACCGAGACCTGAACAGATGCCGGCCAATTTGTGTTCATCTGCCGATCTTCGTGATGGAAGCACTTAAGTTGTAATTCTAAATCTGATCTCCACATAAGTGTTTGGTGTACAGTGGGTTTCAGTTGAAAGACATGATTGCTTACTGCCAAATTGTGTTCTAATCTAAATGGTGGTAAAATAATGCCATCCCTTACTGGGAAAGTCAGCCTTAATTCGTCATCTTCTAAAAGAGAAAGAATTTAGTAATTATACAGTGATGTAGCGGTTACTTACTTTGTACTGGTATTGGTGGTTTTAGATCATTAAAACTAGGTTTTACATCGGGGTTAGGACTAATGTACGGTGGCATGCTGCTCGCTGGGGTTAAAGGTGGCGTCGGATTGCCCGGAATTGGACTGTGTTGGTAACTCATATTATTCCTCATGCCCATATCTTGTTGGAATTGACTACCGGTATTGCCATATTGCGCTGCAGCGCCGCCGCTCATATACTGGCCAGAATTATTGCTATGAAACTGACCCATCGAACCATTAGAAAAGTACTGTCCCTGAGTTGTGTAAGGAGGGGTTGCCTGCCTTAGACTACTGGTATTTCTAACAGGGGTCATAGTTCCCGCTCCGAAATTGCCGGAAGGACCTATACTTTGTTGCGTAGGATACTGAGTTTGGAAAGTGGGCTGCCGTGAGGCGTAAGTAGGATACTGTCCGTTTGGACTAAAATTAGGATTCATATTAGGATTCATTGGACTCATGTTAGGATTTAAATTAGGGTTTAAATTAGGATTCATATTTGGACTAGGACCGGGCGTGGGGTAAGATTGGGGAACCCTTTTCTGGGACATATGCATCGCCGGTGACGGATAGGGGGTCATTCTTCTGGGGTACATGGAACTATTGGCGGGTCCTCCCATTTTTGGGCCCATATTTCCTGGCATGCTTCCCATCATTGAATTGTGCATATTTCCCATACTTATGTTAGCCATGTTGTTCATAGGGTTCATCCCATTCATACCGTTCATAGGAATCATTCGCTGCTGATAGCTTTGGGCGTACTGCTGATTGCCGAATTGGGAATTGTCCTGTAGAGCCACCACACTAGCGGTGGCGGTAGCCGTTGCCGTCGCCGCTGCCACCATAGCAGCTGTTGACAGCGCGTTGCCGCCTCCGTAGCTTCCTTCAGAACCATTCATTCCCCCGCCCGCTCCATAATTTCCGACACTAAAAATAACACACGTTAACTTGTAGATTTTTTTTGTAATTTCTAACGATATTGGGAGTATTGTGCAATACAGTACAAGGTTGCAACCATTAAAACGTGTATCGTAATGAAACATTTTAGACAATACATTTTATGATGATATGAGCATTATATTTTAAGTTACGACCAATTTGCATAATTTTATTCATAAGTTAGGTCTGTACCTATGAGGAGAAAGTGGTACAATAAATGTATAAATTAAAAAACGTATTTATGGCATGCGATGTCAAAATTATTGGCATTAATGAATAGATCTACGTATAAATAGATTTGCTATTACATGTAAACTCGTTGCCTGCTCGTGATACCTACACCGAAATGTGCTATTATCGTAATTATGCCTCCGAAGAGTTTTACTGGGCCATGTCCGTTTGCTACGCATTCCTCGCTACACATAACGAGACATTGTTTTACTGGCTAATAAAAAAAATTAGAACTCGTACCTACTCAGTTTTAACACTATTCTGTGCCGCTGAATTATTTCAACTATTAATAAATTAAGGTCAACTCTTTGACGTAATATAATAACATAATTAGGACAAAAATTATTTTGGTATTTAGTAACGACGCCAACATATGTATAAAAACGGATTGCGGAAAACAAAAGTGCATACTCAAAAAATCCGTTATATTTTATTTATAATTGCACATGTTTCAACAATTTTCGTTCGTATTTATATTATTGCTCACCGATGCAATTGCGTTGCTTACACGAGTTATTTTTGACCTTGTCAGAACTAATCTAATATTAGTATGTATTACTATTGGGGTCCATTAAAATCGTTTACCTGTAAAAATTGCGTTTTCTGGATTTATGTAACATTTTCGCAGAGCCTGAAATCGATAGCATTCACATTTGTATTACCAACTGTATTGTGTCTAAACATAGATTGCGGAATTTGGAGTAAAAATTTAAGGAAGTATAAATATAATAATAGGCATTTAAAATTTAAAAAAAAGACTCACCATAGCGTTGCCAATTCTACTTCACTCACATTAAAAAAAAATTGAAAATAACGCAAAATAACACATTCCATGGCTCATTGTGGCTTAAATCTCGCCTTCAATCGAAATTGATTGGTTAATTGCACAATACAATTTCTTAAGCTGGGTCCCAATTAAGCGCGCGCATGAGTACATTATTCAAAAAATATTACAAACTTGAAAACTATGACGATAAATGGAAAAATCACACGGGTAATAAAATAGGTAGTAGTACTCATATGATCGTTAAATTTAATGAGTCTGTGAACTTTTACCATTAACTTTGGCATTGGACCTGTTCCTAACTGCATCACCAAGCACTGTGGCATGGACTAGCGTAGGTACTCGAGAGCGTACTACGTACGTAATCACTATGAATAAATAATAAAGGGATAATTGAAGAAGTTTGCTATACGAAGAATATGACCTCAAGATACATGCAGATAAAAAATATCAACAAATTTTGAACAAAATCCCCATGGAAATCTGTGGAAAACTATTGAAAGTAATATTTGTTCACTTAGCTCACAATCTTAAGATTTAAAAACTATTTTGGGCAGAGTTTTGCTTTTTCATTTTGATAGTATCTTAAAACACTAAACAACTCGAAAAACAACTCTTAAGTTTGTATTATACGCAAGATCCTACATGGAGACGGTTACCAATTATCATCAATGACGTGTATTGTATTATAGTACTCGGTATAGTATCTAGTCATGTTAGAATTATCGGGTGCACTACGTGGAATAATCCTCTGAAAATTCTTAAGAAAATATCTCGGAAAATATAGACTGATGGTAAATTGTGACAAAAGAGTAAAAACCCACGTTCAAAAGAAATAGGAACGTACTCGGCCGGTGCTTGAACTTCTCCATTTGCTCGCAACCAAGACTGCCAAGTCCTAATGACCCTGCATGCTGGTTTTAGCTCGGGTTTTAGTTGTCTAGAATCTAGAGAGTAACAGCGAGGATAATAATAAATATCATTGAAAAATTTCGATAAATTTTAAAACTACACATTTTCTTGGAAATTCAGTTTGGCGTGAATGATTTGCCAAATGAATGAAGTACGAGGTGAAGTACCTACTTTTCCATCTCCACACTACTAAACAACAACGGATGATTATCATTTGGAAACCACAGCACAACTCCGCTATTATTCAAATGGATATCAGATGAGCAGTTTTATGGGTGCTGATGTCCGATTTCGTCTACAAAACCTTAAAATGGGGGTAGAATAAAGAAATTATGAACTAAAAATCGACAGCGTCCACGACAGATAATCTATGATTGATAAGGTACCAACAAACTTATTTATTATTATTATTAAATTAATTAGGAAATTAAGTATGAATTTCGAACAATTGAAGATGGAGGTTTTAGATTAAATTAAACCCGACCTTTATCATCGATAGTAAGAAAGTTACCCATGCAATTCCCGAGGCAATTCCACTCGCTTATGTCTCGGAGCGGTCGAAAATCTTTGTTATCTACGGACCGATTTTTTAAAAATGAGAGTAATAAGTACTTTAGAATAAAAAGCAAAGAATTCATTGGCTATAATGACGATTTTTTCATTTAATCTGGCCGGAAATAACCTTAATTTTTTTTATAGAACACCCTGTATATTTTGCTGTTTGACTACACAAATTAAAAAAGCCCTAGATTATTAGAGGAAAATCTAGGGAAATTTTGGAGAAATTTTTAGGAAAATTTAAGGCAATGCTAGAAATGTTGGGGAAATTAAGGAAAATGGTGGAAATGTTTAGACTCGTGTTTAGACAATGAAGGAAATCTTTGTCCTCTAAAATAAGTCGTGATCAATTCCTCGAGCAACAATGTAATTAGGAAAAAGAATGCAAAATAGTTGACGATATAAAGGGTGTTGCACTTAAAAAATACCAACTTCAGGTCAAATCTCAGAAAAGGTGGGGCAAAAATTTAATTTTACTACGCCACTGGATCCTACGTAAAAATATCCAGAATGGGCAGTTTTTTACATTTTTTATATCTTACATGGGCAGTAAGGGTAGTAAGCGAGGTAGTAAGATACGATAACATCCCGTTAAACTTTCCGTTTTTACCCTGTATCTCAGAAACAAACGTAAATAGGTTGATTCCAAGGTTGATTCTGTTTGTGGTACTAAAAATTTAACAAAAAAGTGGCACAGGGTCGCGCAACAACAAGTCTTTAAAAACAGCCGAGATACACCGCAGTCTGAACCAAAATAGGACTCACGCTCGGACTCACGGTACAAGGAATTTATGCATTTATACCTCGATTTATACTTAAGGATGTTTTAAACAGAAAGTTGGCAACCATAAGGGCAACTTATTTCTTTGAAAAAGAAAATTTGAAATGTTGAAGAAACGGATAAAACGTCTTTTTGTTGTATAGATATTACATGTATCTTCCCATGTATCTGAATGTTACAACAGAACGTTTTTTTTAACGAAACGTGTGAATGGATGATTTTTTTCGGGCAGTATTAATTTTCATTATATTATAACCAATGACTTATATCATGATAATTAATCTATTATAAGACAGGTTCTGCAGTACCTATAGAAAAGTTTAAACCACTGTCGAGACCACTGTGAACTCCCTTTACTCCCTTCAAGAATTTAATAATTAAAAATTACATCCCGACCCTAACGTTCTTGAAACTCTTTCGCTCACGTGACTTTTGTAGACCTTCGGGAGAAATTTTAGTACGTGCAAAGTTGGTTGCCTATTGCCATCTATTCCATGCTCTGATACGGTTTTTTTAAAGGCGAGTTAAATAGTATACATAACAGATATGTATATATTTAAGAAAAAATCGCTGAATGCAGGCTGGGGGTTATTTCCGGCCAAACCGGAAGTGAAAAATGTCATTATCACCAATGAATTCTGTGCAATTTACTGTAGTTTTACTCTAATTCGACCGTTCCGCGACTTATGGGGCAATCTTTATGCATGTACATGTTCCTGTTATATGTACCCTCGTATGAACCTAAATAGTTCTCTTTTAGAAATACATTTATTTCATAGGTAAACTTCTTCGTAAAGTCCTTGGTTACAATTGTCAATACGAATATTACCTTAGAATTCAGAATAGATCAATTGTTCTGCTTAGAGCACTTGCAGAAGTAAATAAGTTTAAAAAGTCATTATGGCAAACATAAATGACGAGAGCGTATTTTCCTCCTAATAATATTAATGTTAAGACCAGGAAAAAATCCCGGTAGGCACGAGATCCTTATCCCATTCTCTTTCAAATGAGCCGCCTATCGTCGAAGTCATACAGTTTAATGAAAAATAGTGGAGGGTATACAAATACAAACAAATTTTGAAATGGGAAATAGTTTTACTTTTATTCGAAGTGTCTACATATGAAATTTTTTTATTGCTTTCATAAATAGCATTGCGCATTGTCTACATTAGAAATTTCATTGAATACCTTCATAAATAAAACATACAGCATGCCTACATGTGATATCTCATTTAACTGCTTTCATAAATAAGAAAGTTGGCATTGCGCATGCGCAAAACAACATTTTGAAAACTTCGTTAACTTTACTTACATTGGTAGTATTTACATATACAGTTTCATTTAAATATCTTCATAAATAAAAAAGTTAGCATTGCACATGCGTTAATCCCAATTTTTGCCACTGCGCAAACCAAAAAATATCAGTATGCACGGAATCCTTGGACCAAGCCCTTTCAAATGAGCCCCCTATCGCCCAAATCGGTTCAGTGGTGTAGGAGTACGCGTGACGGACGACAAAGTGCAGCCAATAGCGATTTATCGCTTTGATGAAAATACGCTAAAAAGAAGAGAATAAATGCACCATTTTCCGCCCTTGTTGGGTGGGTATGTTTCACGCGTAACCCTCGACGCTTACACCACAAAAATTAAAAGGACATTATACTCAGTTGATTTGCGCAGCGCAAGCCATTAAATATTTTTAAAATATCTTAACAAAGATTA